AGTGTGCAAGAGCATTATGCCTAAAAAAACAATGTATATACTTCAGTTTAAAAAAATACTTTATTTTGCAAACTGGGGAATAAATATACAAACACAAGAACTTCTTAAGTAAGATTAAAAGAGGTTAAAATTATATTTATTTATAAGCTCTTGGTTAGGAAAGTGTAGTAGAAGATACATGAAAGTAATTACCTGTGTTCTCCTTAGTAGTCTACTTGAGATGATTTTTTTAAACTGCTTGTTTTATTAGCTCATAATAAAAAGTAACTAGTCAAAATTTAAAGCATCTTGATCAAAATGGGTCTGCACATGCCTTCCAAACCCTTGCTGGTCATAGTCAGGAGGGAACTGCTCGTGCGCAGTGGGCACATCTTCCAGCGACTTTCAACACATTCTTCAAATTTGTTCTGATCATAGCAGGAAGGAAACGTTAATTCACAGAGAGGACACTTTTTGTAAGCATCAAAGCAGTAATCAAAGCAGAAGCCTGTTCCATGCCCATGTACATGCTTTCTCAGAGTATCAAGAGCAGTGGGCATATTTTCATCTACTTTACTACCCTCAGGGTCTTCTAAACCATCAGGCCGACTATGGCTTCCAGCACGTTGGCTGCAGAGATTATCTTCTTGTCCCCAAGAGGATACTCTCACAGGTGGCCTTTGGATTTCATCTGGATAAAAAGCACTACCTGCTCCATGTATTTTGTATCTTTATTTATTCCCCAGTTTGCAAAATCGTATGACTAAAAGAAACAGGGATTATTAATGTTACTGCTCTGAAAAACATGTATGTATAGTGTGTTATTTAGCAGAATATTTACAAGTTTCTGTTAGGCTTGTGATTGAGCATGACTACTAAATATTATGTAATAAAAAAATTATCAGTCTTGCAAAGTAATTCTTTGAATACAGAACTTGCATAACTTAGCACATAAAATGATGGGTTTTAAAACCCTCTTTAGAAATGGAGTTATATGTAGAATGAGATCACATGCTTGCAGTATAGCAAATATCCTTTTTCTATTTGAAATATTTGCTTTAGGAACTAATGAAAGACATATTTAGTTAATTTTATGACAAATTTCTTTAGAATAACCTGAATGATTATATTTAAGCCATCTTAAAGGTGTATTTCTATCTAATGGGAAAATGGAACAAGATATGTGAGTACAATTGTTTCATATTAAATAATCTACTAAGCAGTGCTGTTTGTGGCATAAAATCCTAGAAAATGTATCTGTATCTTATTCACATTTTCTTGATGAGAATATAATTTCGAAATAACATTCACAGTAAATGAAAATGTAATACGTAAACCCAAATCAACGTGTCTAAAGTTATATGTCTGCTGTGTATAGTATTCTCATTAACATAAAGAGGATACACTTTTGGAGGTAATAAATAAACAAATAAACAAACAATAAAAAAAACTTCACTACTAAAAAATAGTAATCATCTGAGCCTGTTGGAAAATGGCACTGATAGACGAAAGTGTCTGTCTGATACTAAATATTTGTAATAAATTCTGTCTTGTTTTTCAAAATGTTTGACATTTAGAAAATGGGTTATTACTTTATTTTTTTGAAGTACTTCTTTCTGATACACAGTTGATACAGTCAATAGAATTCCCATCCTCAGATTCAAATTCAGAGTAATTTGGGAAATAGTTATTATTGCACAGTGATAGATGGTTGAAGTCAGTGGGGCACAAACTGAGGTGAATAGCAGAGCCAGCAGAATAGAAAGAGAATAAAGCAAATACAAATCAAGTACATTCTGGGGAATCTCAGAAGAATACAGAATTCAAGATGGAAGACAGTTCAGAAATCACCTATCAGTCTTGTTATTTTACAGATGAGAAAACTGAATTTCAAAGAAGCCAAATGTCACAAGGCAGCAGAAGAATCAAAATGAAACCTAGATCCCCTATCTTCCCCCCTCCCAATCCTACTCAGTGTTCACTTTCACTAAAATAGAGAAAACAAGCTAGAGCACTAGGAAGCTGAAAAATAATAAGGTTCTTATTCAGGAGAAAGGAAAAAGATATTGATGAGGAAAGAAATCGAATACCTCAGATATATAATATCCACTGGTCCTGAACCACTCTACCAGACAGTCCTCACAACTCTTGACACATCCCACCGTTCCCATAAACGTGATCTTTTCTTTGACCTGACTGAACTTCCACTTCTTTGCTTCTTCAACTCAATCTTCTCTCCAAATTCTCCAAATTCTCCAAACCTAGGAATTTTGCTCAAATAGCAAAAATAATCTGGTCTCAAGATATCTTAAGAATCTTCTGCCTCCCTCTAAAAACCTAATAACATTTTTAATAAAGCATAATAATAAAATTTAAGTACCAAACAGTTGAAAAAACAGTGTTTTAGAGCAAGGGCTTGCAAATTACAGTCTACGTGCTAAATATGGTCTACAGCCTTTTATGTGGCCCACAAGGTAAGAATGGTTTTTACATTTTTAAATAGTTGTTTAAAATAATACCCATACAAAGAACAATATGAGACTGAGAACATAAGTGGTCCAGAAAACCTAAAATACTATCTGACCCTTTAGAGAAAAAGTTTGCTAACCCTTGCTTTAGAGTATTTACTGAGAATTTGTTTTATAAACAGAAAACACTTTCTTAAACTACAGAATAAGCTTTCAGTCTAAAGGGCATCAAATAGTTTTGATGTTCAACTGACTTTTAAAACGAAGGACTTTAACTGTACATTAAATATAATTGAAAAAAATTTCAATCCTTAAGGCAAATGCTAAAAAATATATAAGTATTTTTAAGTTTACTCTTATTTCATAGATATAATCTCCATCACCCATTTCTCCTGCTCAACCCCTCATCCAACATACTATTTTGTATAAACTTAACACCAACTAAGATAGTTGCAGATCCCTCATCTCTTCAGGTATTGCCTTCCAAATGCTCAACCCCAAATGAAAATGGTTCAAGATGTTCTTAAAGCTCTGACTCAGGCCCCTATACATTCATCAATCCTGTTTTTTACTTATTCCATTAGAATAGTTTTAAAAGATAGTATTAATTAGGCCATATTAAATAAATATAAATTTATATGATACTCAAAGAAAATGCTGTTATTAAATAAATTAATACAAATACAACCTAGAGTAGACTTATTCACCTTACTCCTTAAGGTTGCTACTCTTCTCTACCCAAGAAGTATAGAATTCTAATCAGAAAATAGATGATTATCTTTCATTGTCATTTGCTTATTGTCATCACCTACCCACACAATCTCTCCTACAAACTAATAAAAAGTTTTCCCTCCTTTTTAGAAACGCAAATATATTAATTTGTCTTCTGCATTTGCACTTTTCTTCTTACTTTCTTTTTTGGATCCTTAGCTAAGACTTCAAACATGCAGAAATTGTCTCTCAAGTATAAACTTTGAAATTCTACATCAGATTATGAATTAGTTAGCATCTCTCCTTCCATAGAAAACCAAATTCATCTATTTAATCATTTAAAATGCCACATTATTTCCGCTAGGAGGTCTTTTCAGAATAAAATTTACCTCTCAGTCATTAAAGTTCACCAATTCGTCATTGTTGTTGTTATTATTTGTTTAGATTTTTAGTTTAAGATACACAAGAATACAACAAGCAATAAATTATACAATGTCCACAGAAGTTTATACAGGATGTGAAGAAACCCAAATTCAGATTTAAGGTTAAATAACACTGAACTAAAAATCCCTCTAAATCAATCTGATGAATATTTAACAGAAATGTAAGGTATACCTCCTATATATGATTAAATTATGTGGATTATAGTTGATCTTTATACAAATTAAACTTCAGAATGTAAAAAAATTGTTGAATTAGTCAATTTCGGAAAAGTCCTGAATCTTAAGATTATGTATTGGGTTGCTGGAAAAGTCATGTCGTATTTTTTCTATGTTTTTCATTGCAAAAATGTGTCATGGCTTTTCCGACAACCCAATAGATAAAAGATAATATGTACATTATAAAACTTTTTTATTCCAAAAAATTCTAATCATTTAGGTCTATAAAGAATATTAAATACTACCCAGTTACTGAAATGATGAAAGTACCAAAATAGAAAATCTCTAAAGAGCTCATCAAAGAAGCAGACAGATCAAAACATATATTGTTTTGATGTTTTAAAAATTATGTTTTGTAATTATGAACTGGTTTTTCATTGCAGCATTATTTACAACAGTCCCTAACATAGGAATCGTTAGGGAAGCTATGACATATACATACAACATTATGCAGCCACTGAAAATGTTTATGAAGAGCTTATAACAACATGGAAAAATGTTTGTTGTAATAGTTAACTTAAAAGAGCAGAACCCCAAATTCTATATATAACAATCACAGTTACATTTTAAAAACTACAAGAAAAAAGGTTTTGGAAAAAATATATCAAAAGAGTAATGGTGAAATTTTGAGTAGTGGGGAAAGGGTTTGTTTTCCCTTTTTTTCTGTCTTTTCTCATGAATATGAACATGACTTTCACAATGGAAATTAATATAGCATTATTATTTTTTTAAGTTCTATATAAAGATAATTTAATAAGGTAACAAATTAATCTGTTATTAAAGTATAGTACCATTTTGGTAAACAAAAATCCTACCGACAGAAAAAAAAAAGGTAAACAAGTCATCAGGTAAACACATTTATATTTTTTAAAAGATAAAGAAGTATGAAATTTGGTAAAGTTGGATGGAAGAAACAACAAATTTTCACCTCAAGGCTGATTATTTTAACATGACAACTGGGTTTTAACAGAAACTATTAAAGTTTACTTCCCTATAAAAATCACAGAGAAGATAATCACTCCACCAAAAGACAGAATAAAAAACCACTCATTTTGAAATATTGAGTTTGTACTTTCTAAATCGTACATGTGAGTTAGCTCACAGGATAAAGGCTGCCAGCATTACAGATGGCCTGTTTACTAAGTGTTCCTCAGAGCAAAGTAGGAAAACAGTGTGGTCTCACTTGTGAAATATGATTGATTGACGATTCCATCCTCCGTAGCTGGGATGCCTGGATATCCAGCATCTGCAGGACATTGTTGGCCAATGTATTTATCAGATAGGCAACACTTGCTAAGGACTGGGTGGTGTAGGCTTTGGTTTCTTCTAGGGCTCGCTGCTTATCCGCTGACTAGGGAAAAAACAAAACAAAAAACCACCATTAATTCAAAGATAACCTATTCTATCAATGTAATCTACAAAAGTACTCATCAAAACCATTCTGTTGCTGAATCTACACACACCAGCTAAAATTGTTAGAAAACTAATTATGTAAAAACCCAACAAGTGAGTTCACTAATATTTTCATGTTGAATAGATACATCTTTGTACTGATGCAAATAAAATCCTGAAGCCATTATTTTAAAAATGAGATCCAATGGATATTTTGAGCAATAGCAGCTAGTACATAGCTTCTCAAGGTCACTGTTTGGAAGGTAACACCGATTTGAATGTATAAATTCTGGCCTATTTTTTCCTACTTTCCTGAATTCCTCTTTTCCTTCCATTTTAATATGTGAGATGTGGCTATAATGTAATGTCAGATTACAGTAATTATGATAATAATGATAAATAAAAATGATAAAAGAACCCTTTCTTCCCAAGCATTTAAAGTGTTATAACCCTATGGGACATAAATTGCCAAGTATCATAAACTCTAATTGAAAAACAGAAAGCACAGTATAAAGTGATTTATTTCCAAGGTCACAATGAAAAGCAATGGTAATGATACACATACTATGCTGCTTTTGAACTGCCAAACACCATCTCTTTGCCCTAGTTCTGTAGAAAAACTCTGTGGTTTAGTAGAAATTACACAAGCCTCTGAACTAGAAACGTTTCATCTTAATGCCAGCTGTACTATTTACTACAATATGTCAACTTGGACTAGAGTCACAGTTTCTCAATTTCCTCAATTAAAAAGTGAAGAAATGGGGGACTGGCCGAGTGGCTCAGTTGGTTAAGAGCTCACTCAAGAGTGCGAGCTCTGAGCAACAGTGAGCAGTTCAGGTCCCGGCCCCAGTTGAGCTGCTGCTGAGCTGCTGCTGAGCTGCCAACAGGTGGCAGAATGACTCAGCTAAAAAAAAAAATTAAAAAAAAAGTGAGGAACTGAATCTCTGCATCAACCATTCTAAATAGTTGTGAACCTCAGATACGACAATGGATGTACAACCACTTTCTAAAACTACAAATCAATGGTCATTAACTGTTAAAAGTCCGTTGTGTCCCACCCTCCTCTCTCCCACACACTACAGAAGTCAGAATCAACAACCCCATATACAACCCCAAGTTTTTCCAGGGGGAGAAAAATTCTTTGGAAGAAGAAGCAGGTAATAAAATAACCAAATAATACCATTTTAATTTGAAAGAGTTAAGCATCACTGTACTAACTTTTTATTTTTTTATTTTCATTCCTAATCTGTAGTAATCTCAGTCTTATCGATGCTTAAATTAACAAGAGTTGAAAACAAATTTGGTTAAAAATAAATGCTTTCAAAAACCACCGTATAGGCTCCCAGATTCTGATTGTACATGTAGGGAGCCTGGAAGTTGCCACATCATCCTAACAAATAAAAGCTGAACACACTGGAAAAATCAACAACTTTTCTTGAATTCACAGCAGAAAACAGTAGTCATTAACACTTTTTAGACATTACTCTAAATCAGAGTATTTCTTATAGAGAATAACCAAAAATAAAACACTTAGGTAATTTATTAGTATGCTTCACAGGGGATGGCTTTCTGGACAGATTTAATTATTTTCAATGTATCTCTTTTTATATTGACAGTACTTGAGATTCTTTAAAAAACAAATAGTATTAATATTAATCACTTTATGCTATGCTTTTATTCCTAGTGTGTATGTGAAACCATGTGGCTGATTGTTGCTGCATCAAAGATATAACAGGCCCTTATATTAGGTGGGTTTCATGTATATTTACTGTTCCATGAAATATTAAAGACTTTATAATGTAAAATGTATAAAGCAAATCTAGTATCTGGAGATGCTATTTGTGGTTGACTTATCACATTGATGTAATTCACCATGAAGTAGGTGTTCTGGGCATCATTCTTCATTAAAGTAAAACAGAGGAACATTCTGAATTTTAGAAATAAAATGTTACACCAATTTCTTTACACTGCTCTTCAAAGAAAAAAAAACTGGTAGTCCATTAAAATCCTGATGTATTTTCATAACAGTGATTGTTACAAGTCAAGAGTGTTAAAGAGGTTGAAACAAAGAAATCTTCACAGGTACCAGAGAAAAGTATAGCTAACTCTTTTCTAAAGGGGCATACATTTATTGTACATTCACATTTACAAATTAGCCTCAGACTTGAAAACTAGAGAAAGGACTATTCTCATATGATTATATACCAGAAGAACAAGAATGACTCCTAATTGCTTGTAATCTGTGTTTTGACAGGGAGCAAACAGTGGATTTTGAAGTGCTTTATTTAGACTATGCATTAACTTAATATAATTAATAAAACTGAATGGTTTTTAACGTGTTAAAAGAAAATAAAAAATCCTATTTTTGGATCCCTACGAGAGGGGAGGACAGGACACACGGGAGGTTCACAGATGACATAATCATCTATGTAGAAAATCCGAAAGTAGTGACCAAAAAAACTGGAACTAGTAAGAAATTACAGCAAGATTGCAGGATACAAGTTTAATATACAAAAATCAACTGCTTTCCCATACACCAGCAATAAGCAAGTCGAATTTGACATTAAAACCCCCAAAATATAAAATACTTAGGTACAAATCTAACAAAATATGTATAAGATCTATATGAGGAACACTACAAAACTCTGATGAACAAAATTAAGAACTAAATAAACAGTCCATGTTCATGAATAGGAAGACTCAATCAACATTGTCAAGATGTCATTCTTCTCAAATTGAAACACAGATTCAATGCAATCCCAACCAAAATCCCAGTAAGTTATTTTGTAGGTACCAACAAACTGATTCTAAAGTTTATAAAAAGAGGGAAAAGACGCAGAATAACCAACACATTATTGAAGGAGAAGAACAACACATTACTGGAAGACTAACACTACTCGACTTCAAGACTCACTATAAAGCTATAGTAATCAAGACAGTGTGATACTGATGAAAGAAGTCAAAAAAGTCAATGGAACAGAACAGAGAGCTCAAAAATATACCTACATAAATATAGTCAACTGATCCTTGACAAAGGAGCAAAGGCAATGCAATGGAGCAAAGATAGTCTTTTTCAACACATGGTGCTGGAACAACTGGACATACACATGCAAAAAAATGAATCTAAACACAGACCTTAAAATCTTCACAAAAATTAATTCAAAGTGAATCACAGACCTAATAGTTAAGTGCAAAACTATAAAACTAGAAGATAGGAAAAACCTAGGTGACCTTGGGTATGACAATGACTTTTGAGATACAACATCAAAGTCATGACCCATTAAAGAAATTACTAATAAGCTGGATTTCCTTAAAAACTTCTGCTCTGCAAAAGACAATGTCAAGAGAAACGAGAACACAAGCTACAGACTGGGAGAAAATATTTGCAATAGACATATCTGATAAAGGACTGTTAACCAAAATATACAAAGAACTCTTAAAAGTCAACAATAAGAAAATAAACAATTAAAATATAGGCCAAAGACCATCACAGACACCTCATCAAAAAAGATATACAGATGACAAATAAGCTCTACATCCTATGTCATCAGAGAAATGTACACTAAACAAGACCCTAATACACACCTATTAGAGTGGCCAAAATCCCGAACACTGACAACACTAAGTGCTGATGAGGATGTGGGACAACAGGAGCTCGCATTCATTGCTGGTGGGAATGAAAAATAGTATAACCACTTTGGAAGACAGTTTGGCAATTTCTTACAAAACTAAATATACTCTTCCCATATGATACAGTAATCATGCTCCTTGATATTTACCAGTAGGTAATAGGGTACATCATACAATGGAATACTATTCAGCACTAAAAAGAAACGTGTTATCAAAACATGAAAAGACATGAAGGAACTTTAAATGCATATTACTAAATGAAAGAAGCCAATCTGAAAAGCCTACATACTGTATAAGTACAACAATATGACATCATGGAAAAGGCAAGACCATGGAGACAGTAAAAAAGATCAGCGGTTTAAGGGTTTGGTTGGGAGAAGGGATGAATAGGTGGAGCACAGGGGACTTTTAGGGCAGTGAAAATACTCTGTACGATACTAGAAAGATAGATACATGTCATTATACATTTGTCAAAACTCAGAAAATGTCCAACACCAAGAGTGAACCTTAAAGTAAACTAAAGACTATGGATGATGATGTGTCAGCATAGGTTTATCAATTGTGAATAAAGAAGAACAATGAAATAAGAATAACACGATGGACAGTGAGGAAAAAGGCAGGTTGAAAACAATGTCAACGATGCCAAATGCCTAGATTTTTAATCAAGCAAAAAAGAAGACTATACAAAGCTAATTCAGAAAAATAAAATTCCCACAGATTAGCCATATTGTATATATCTTTTAATCAGGTTGTGAAACCATTTCACAACAAGCCTCAGTAAATATGTTAAAAAACAAACAAACAAAAAACAAATAAAACCAATTGTATCCCCTATTAATCTTCAAGTAAAAATGTCAGGAAATTTCTACATCATTATTACTTTGTACTGATAACCAAAACAGCATTTGGGGGCATGAGTAATTTCACAGGATGAACACACGGTATACTCGTATATAAACAATCTCTCTATATAAACAACCACATACATAAGGTTTTTAATTTGTAAAAAACTTATTTTGTCTTGACTTCCAAGTCATGAAATTATAATATTGGAATCAGAGCTTATTCATAAAGCTCAGTAATTTTTTCTTAGCCATTAACTTTATCCCCAACCTATTGCCAAGGGCATCTTTGGGAGAGAAGTCATCCTCATCATATTCTCTATCATATCCTCCACTACTCAAGTACAGTGTTAAGAAAATATGTTTTCAAACTTACAGCTGCCCCTACAACCCTTCAATTATAGTAATTCTGGAACCAGTTCAGCATGTGATCAACAAACAATATTCTGATACACCCGAGTATGACACTACGGAACACTATTCTCTG